ACCTCAAGCTCGCGCAGATCTACACCGAGATCCTCCACGCTAAGGGCAAGTCCGCGTCGTCGGTGCCAACCCAGTTCAAGCAGGAGGAGTTCGCCGCCAACTCCTTCCTCTTCTTCTTCGGCACGAACTCGACGACTGAGGCCCCTCGCTCGCGTTCGATTGGTTGGGCCCCTAAGTACACTACTGATGACTTCTACCCTGCTGTGCCGAAGGAGGTAGACGCCGTCCTCGCGGGCAAGCGTTAGTTGTAGCTGGTTATGGCAGAAAGGGTGGTAAATAGTAATATAGGCGTTAGTAGCACAATTCATCAATCTTATACCGTGATACTAAATATGCTTGTGATGGCTGTCCTGTACACGGACGTGCAGCTTGTTCGTATTAGCGAGCGTACACAGCGTTGTGACGAGTGGATGATGACGAGTGGTCTTGAGTGAGTCTAGTGCGAGTCTAATCGCCACAGGCCTCTGGCAGCTGTGGCTCCCATCGAAACACCATAGTGTACAATGTCGCGCGATCCGCGCGTGTGATACCTCCCATACGGAGCTACTAGCTACGTATCGCATCAACCGGTGCTCAAGAAGTACCTTGCGTACCTCCTACTCGCTGCTGCAAAAAGTGGGGCGATCGGCAAAGCGCAACGAGGCGCGTCGCAAACACGTCTAAACACCCGCAACGACTTTTACCGACGATCTCTCTCACCTCGACGTGTTCCCCACGACCAGCATGTCCTCCCGCAAGCCGGTCATAACGACCAACGTTCCGGCCTTCGCCAATGCGCCCCCAGCCGGCATCTACGACGGCAATGGGACCTTCTCCAACTATGTCCTCGCCGGCCTCGTCTTAACCGTCCCATTCTTCGTCAAGCGCATCCTGCCCCTCGTCTCACGCGGGGGGTTCAAGACCTACCTCTTCGTCGCTTTATTGACGGGCCTGCCTGTGACGGTCGCGTACTGGACGATTATGAGTATGATCGGTGGACGCAAGAATGAGAGGGTGCAACTGCCGGGGAAGAATATCGAGGAGTACATCGATATTAAGGATGCGGAGTTGAAGAAGGTTTATCACGGGCGGGAGAAGATCCCCATGCAGGTCTTCTACGACGCGTACTTCGAGGGCAAGATCGACTTCAAGGGTACTTACTCCCTTCATACTGTTTAGATTGAATGTTGAACTGACACGTCACGCGTCTGTAGGCGACGTCCTCGAGGCGATGGAGAACCGACACGACTTTACGAAGATGACCTTCACGCTCGAACTATTCCGCCACGTCCTCCTCAAGCTCGTCCCGGACATCATCTTCCACACCCAGCACCAGGACGAGGAGCAGATCCGCGACAACTACGACCGTGCGTACACTCGTTCCTCGCCGGCTCGCGTCCTGATCTTTTGATCGCGTTCGTGTTTGAACGCGGTCACATGCTCTTCGACCTTCGGCTCTCCCTAAGCGCTCATATACTGACGCGACGTCATCCCTGCAGGAGGCGACGACTTTTACGGCTGGTTCCTCGGCCCGCGTATGATCTACACCTCTGGTATCCGCACCTCCCTCACCGAGCCCCAAAACCTCGAACAACTCCAGGACAACAAGCTCACCATCGTCTGCGAGAAGCTCAACCTCCAGCCCACCGACCGCCTCCTCGACATCGGCTGTGGCTGGGGCACCCTCGTGGCGTTCGCCAACAAGAACTACGGCTGCGACGCGACGGGTGTGACGCTTGCGCAGAAGCAGGCTGCGTTTGGAAACCAGAGGATCAAGGATAACGGGTGCGATACGGATAAGGCTAGGATCCTGTGCAAGGACTACCGCGATATCCCCGGTGGGCCTGGGACTTTCACCAAGATCGTATCGCTCGAGATGGCCGAGGTACGTTTTCGCGTTCTGTACCTTCTCCCTTCACCCTCATCCGTCCTCCCTCGTCGAAGCGTGCATGTGCTGATTGTGCTGCAGCACGTCGGATTGCGCCGGTACGATACCTTCCTCCGCCAAGTCTATGACCTCCTCGACGACGACGGCACCTTCGTCTTCCAAGTCGCCGGCCTGCGCCCGCACTGGCAATACGAAGACCTGATCTGGGGAATCTTCATGAACAAATACATTTTCCCCGGCGCCGACGCTTCGGCCTCTTTGGGCTGGGTCGTGAACCACCTCGAGGGCTGCGGATGGGAGGTCAAGAACATCGACGTCTTGGGCGTGCATTACTCGGCTACCATTTACCACTGGTACCTCAACTGGGTCAGCAATAGGGAGAAGGTCGTGGAGGCGTATGGGGAGTGGTGGTACAGGAACTGGGTGTTCTTCCTTGCGTGGAGCGTGATCATCTCGAGGAATGGGGGCAGCTCGGTGTTCCAGTTTACGCTGCACAAGAACTTGAACTCGTACCCGCGTATCTTGGGCGTCGAGAACCACTCGTCGATCAAGGTTACGCCCAAGGTTCAGATCCAGTACGTCTACCCTTACTCATTCACCTGATCCTCTTGCTGATGCTCGCGTCGCAGGCCGATCTTATAGGTGACGAGCCTCTCAAAATGCGAATGTGAAAGGGAGCTGGGCTCTCGAGGTGGTGGATGGCGATGATTGTGCATGAAACTAGACGAAGCGACACGTATATCCATGGATTAACATACGCTTTGACTTGCTTTGCTTAATGAACCTCGTTGCAGAGCGTACTTTGGGCGGATGGGAACGATTTCATATGCGCCCACGTGTGAAGGTGTATGGTGAAGTTCTGGTCAGAACGCGTCGAGCTTCTGGACTATTCGTCTACCCGAAGACACGCAGTATCCGTACTTGTCGGATAGGACAGCGTCGCAGCGTCTATTCGGTATGGCGGGCGAGTGCGCTTTCCCCTCTTCTTTCCCTCCCACCACCGCCATCCGTCTCCTCATCCTCTTCACAGATCTCTCCGTGCTCCTCCGTATCCCCCAGAGATGAAAGATACTATGCTTCGTGCTGCTGCTCGGCTTACTCCTCGCGTACTTGCAACTGGCATACATAGACGCCGTGTTCGAGTTACGCCGGAGGTCGTGGCCCCTTCCGGAGAAGACGTCGTTGTGGCCTACTCATCTGCAATAGGCATCCCGCATGCCACTGTCATCACGTCCGAAGTCGTCGATCTAGCCGCCACCGACGACTCGAGCCGTCTGCGCAGAGTTGGCGAAGTTACCAAGGACACTGTTCTATTCATCCTCGACGGTCTCGTTCAGTCTGCAGACGCGTGCCCTCCTTTGAAGAGCACGGTCGGTGCTTTGTCATTTCTCGTTAACCATGTTGAGGTGAGGGCTTCCATTGCAATGGAAGAGGAGCACGAGCTTATCCCCGTACAAGCTCGTGTCGGGAAACAAAGCGCAGATTGGCGAGATATACGCTCATATCCATGCAATTGTCGCGTCGCTCGCCGACGCCATACCCGATCCTACGTCTATTTCCCCTGCGCTCGAGGCTTCTCTCCGCACTTTGGCAAAGTATGTGTATCTTGATTCATAAGGTCCTCACGAGTGTCTGATCAAACTTCAGTGTCGTCCATGCGGTGTGCGTAGACATGGAAGCCATAGGGCGCCAACGCTGGGTTCTAAGGTTCATACGAGCGAAATCGCACAACGAAGAGTTAGAGGCGCTCATGAAGCGGCTCGAACGAGCCAGCGATGCATTCGCCGTGAGTGCGATATCCACTGTGTGTCAAAAGTATAGTCCTGACGCGTGTCTGTCGATCAGCGAACTATATTAACGAGTTCGGATGTTAAACTTACACGCCTACTTGAAACTTCACAGCATCGTGGTACTAGTACAGCCTTACACGTGCAAACAAGGTCCATCATAATATTGCCAAACTTTTTTTTTTCGCACACCTCGTTCCCAAAGTAGAAGGTCGACTCAGTGCCTCGCCCGGTAGCTAGTCCATCAGTCTCCGCCGGCTTGCTAGTCCCGATACCACCAGCAATAGCCCGCGTTTCGTACAGCCTTGTGCACCTTATCCTAGATTTAGTCTCCTAGTGCAAGGTCACCGCGTGATAACGGCTGCCGTACGGTTGTACAGCGATCGGCACAAAGAACATCCCCACCGTGCTCGACTCCCATGTAGATCAGACGGATGCCGCTCTTCATCGAAGAGTCCTCATTTCATAGGAGGCTGCTCAAAGCCGAGTTCTCATGTCGTCCGCAGAGACGCGGTGCCCGCAAATATGATACAACTTCGTTTGTTCAAGATTTAGACGCCACCGCGCTTCCCGCACATCAAACCCTACCACCCTCCATACTAGTATCGCTTACTCAAGCAAGCGCCCCGGCCCAAGTCTTTACCGGATCCGCCAGATAAACACGCACCATGAGAACGTACTGCTTTGTGATCATCTTGCTTGGTTCTTGCGCGACCGGGCCCCCAAGGAACGCGGCCCGGGCCACGTTTGATAGGTCTGCTGTCGGCGCGCGTGCACTGTACATGTATGCGTTAGCCTCGCCATCGAAGACATGAGGTAGAGAGGAGAATGGAGAGTGAAGAGTGAAGGGGACAGGGGAGGGGAGAGGGACAGAAGAGGAGAGGAACGCACAGATCTCCGACGGCGCACGCATCGCTGACCTCCGTCTCAGGCATATCAGCGACGGACATGAGCATTTCGCGGAAGACGGATGTGAGTAAATCTCCTTCGCACTCCGCACTATCTGGTCGGGCAAAGTTAGTTCCCACCCATAATCGGAGCGGCAGGAAGGGGTTCACCTCTTGCGAGCCCAGTGCGACTGCAGCGCGCGTGGCGACCCCATTCCGTAGCGAAGAGAGCGCAAGCCTATGCGTTCCGATTTCACGTGGGAGTATTTGGAGGAGCTCGGCCAGTCAGATGCGTACGAGCGGAATCGGTTTCTAAGGGCGGATAGTGACTGGTCGAGTGTACCCCAGCGTCCACCGTGGAGGCGTTGAACCCCATGCGGCCTCGATCTTGAAGAAGAGGGCGACGGCTGCGTCGATCACGGACGATTATGAAGCTGAGAAGGTCTATTGCGCGAATAATGGCTTAGAAATGGGTGCGACACGGATGATACGGTAGGGAATGTACCTTGTACGCCGGCGCATCATCTCCTCCCGTTTGTGTGCGGTGCGATCGTCGCAAAACGACAAAGCTAGTGCCAGTTTTCACATTACATACGCTGGCAGTTGCGGGCAAGAAGCTGGCATTGGCTGCGATGGATATATTGTGTGTGCTGAGGTATCTGTGCCCATCACTGTATTGGGATAGAGCAGCTACGCGTGTTGCCTAGAGCACCTGACGCATATGCGGAGAGCCCGTCCCCTCAGCATACTTCCGCCATCGTGCTGTGTTCCACGTAAGCGAGAACCCATATGTGGCACTATCCAATTACACGTACTGTTCGGTTACGGTAAGTGGCTGGTTGGTCCGTGGAGGCGCGACGCAAGCTGCGGGGTCAGATCATTGTAGCCTCGAAACCAGTCTGCTACCGCATGAGAGGGGAGGGAGAACTCTGCGATAGCAGCCTGGGGGATCTGAGTTTGAAATCCCGAGAGAGTTTTGACAGACAGCTCGCACCGTATATGGTGCGACGGCACGTGAACCACATGGGCTGAGATCGACCCGGCGATACGGCGGGCTAGGTCGCAGCCGCGAGACGCGTCGACGCGTCGACGCGTTTTGCAGCGCGTCGCGTCGCGCGCGCGTTTTTGCTCCGTACTACCACGTCCATGCGATGCCCTCCCGTGCAGTGGACCATCTGAACATCCCGGATGACCTAAAAGCACTCGTGCATGCTAGCTACAACCTCGCTCTCTCAAATACGACTGCAGTAGAGCAACATGTAGAGTCAGTCATCGGCAACCTTCTTGACGATACACTTCGCTGTTACCTCGCTACACTACCTCCAGCCTCATCGTTTCTGACCTGGTCTAGGAAGTCGTTGAGGACGGTAGTATCAGATCGATACCACGCCTGACGGCGTTCAAAAGTTTCAATATCATCGGGATCAATGAGCTCAGTAACGAGGCGAAGGGGAACGATCTTGCGAGCACGCATGACAGCCACGATCTCGTCGGATACATCGCCCTTCGAGAGGTCATAGGTAGATGCCACCTCACGTAGCGAGATTCCCTTGTTGCGAAGCAGATTGACTAGCTCGTGCAAAGTATCTGCCTTAGAAAGGCGACTGAAATAGGCTTGTATGTCGGCCGAGGTTATCGTGGCATTTGACGAGTGAGAAGCAGGATGTCGAGAGTTTGTGCCGGAACTGCTAGTCGAAGCGTTCGAGCTCAATGGCGGACCACCAAAGTCAATAGGGGACGAGTAATCATGCTGGTAATCAGGGTAATAACTGGGTGTATGCGGTATGTGGAGGCGAGGAAGAGACTGAGATCGCGAGGGAGTGTGTGCTGAGGTCGTCGCCGAGTTCGGCCCATTGTATGGCTTGAATGTGAGCTCGCGTGGCGGCGCAGGTGAAAGCGGCGAGTAACCCGTGTACGTGGGACTTAGATCGGGCGTGTACGGGGACTGTGGTGTCGAACCAGCCCGATGGACGTGATTCACAGGCGGGAGTGTATGGGCTGGGCGTGTTGGGGTTTGCGGCAACGATACATGCCTAGACAGGCTCAATATGCGGTCGAGAGGGTTTTGAGCGGGAGCAAATGTCCCGGCAGAGCTGAGCGAGGGGGTGGGATCGTTGAAAGTAATGATATTTTCGTATGCTGCACCCGTGCGAGGCCGTGGCACAGAGCTTGGTAGCGATACTGCTCGTTGCCTCTGGTTATGTGAAGCGGCATCCTGCCGCGATGCATTCGAGTCCATTCTATATCCTATAGTGCGAGTACATGCGGGTGCGTGACGTATACGAGCAGACGTGGTAGTACGGAGCAAAAACGCGCGCGCGACGCGACGCGCTGCAAAACGCGTCGACGCGTCGACGCGTCTCGCGGCTGCGACCTAGCCCGCCGAATCGCCGGGTCGATCTCAGCCCATGTGGTTCACGTGCCGTCGCACCATATACGGTGACAGCTGTCTGTCAAGACTCTCTCAGTATTTCAAACTCAGATCCACCAGACTGCTATCGCAGGGCCCTCCACCCACCAACCCATGCGAGAGCAGGCTGGTTACGAGACTAAGATCATTGGACGCGCCCATTGATATTCTCACACAATGTCCTCTTGCCCTAGACCACCACCATATCGTGCACAAGTTCTGCCCATGCGCTCCTGAGCGTCTAGCTTACCCCTAGCGGTGACGAGCGCTTCCCCCAGGCTCTGTGGCAATGACCAAACTCCTACAATTCATTCCTTGAACCCCAGCCCGCGAATAGGCGGAATTGAAAGCCGCTGATACTTAGAATGATAACTACAACTTGAACTTCTGCTGTCAGACGGTGTGAGTTGTTACATGCGCTTGTACGCCCACTTCTCTCGAGAACTCTCGAGAACGCCACGGTGGCTGAACGTATCCTAATACGCCCATTGCAAGTATGTGCCTGCTGACCAGCATGCGAAACTCAGGCGGGTCCCGGCGATGCTACTAGCTACGATACTCGGATGCGATTCCCGTCTTGGCTCATCGAAGAGTATTGCTGTACATGATACGTATCCACATAGGTATAAGGCCTTCCGTTGGCCTTCGACTGGGGTTCAACCGATACAGAGTCACTCTTTACCCCTCTGTTACAGCGGTCCTCCTTGGTCATGGAGAACGTCGCTGTCCGTCCTGGCCGATTACGAGCTCTTTCTCAAATCCTTCCCCGTGGGCTCGTATCTCTACAACATAGACGGCGGTACCGGCTCTTCGGCAGTGCTGCGGGCTCTTCAAGTACCTCCGTCGACACCCATCTGCCATCCCCATCGCTGTCGCCGCCAGCCCTCGTCGATAGCGTGTCGTGTTCTGTCATTCCTCCATCCGACCCCTCTGATGCGATCGCCAAGGATACTCTCCTCTTCGGTTTACAGGTCCTCGCCGAATCTGCCGATGCCTTCCCACCATTGAAGAGTCTAGTTGGCGGTCTGTTGTCCATCGCCGGCCAAGTCGAGGTAAAGGGCCACTTTCCTTCACCCGTCTATGTTACTGGCTCAGATTCTTCGAAGCTCCTCGGCAGTAACAAGTCACAGATCAACGAGATATATGCTGAGCTCGACGCATTCACTACAACGCTCGCGCGGGGTATCCCGGACACAAATACTCCTTCCGCAGCGCTGAAGTCAGCGTGCCAATCACTGGCCCAGTATGCCTTTTCCTCTTTTCTTTTTTTCTCTATGCATCGAACATGGTCCTGTGTTCAAGGGAAGTTGAAGCGATATGCACCAGCATGAATTCCATCGCGCGCCAACGGCTCTATCGGAGTTTTCTTAGGGCCAAAGGGCATTCGCGCGAGCTCCAGAGTCTCGCGAGACGGTTGAATCTAGCCCACAATGCTTTCAGGGTAGGGATGCGACGCTTTCATTATCATTTGTGAATGGTGATCATATTGAAACTCACCGCAGACAACATTGCTTATCAGTATGGAGTTGAAGACGACGTTGATTTTAGCGAGCGTTCCTCAAGCTCCTCCACGGTCACCCGGTCAAGCTAGGATCATGAGCTCTCTTCTGGAGAATGAGAATACTACCGGTTCCCTTAGGGGGACCGGCAAGATCACCGACGAGACCATCCTGGTACGTGCTGCTAACATAACTCAAGCTTGTCTTGTAGGTGTCCTAATGGGTTTGCTGGCATTCGTAGTGGTCTCGATGTCAGGCGTCACGCAAACGCGGCGCGCTGTCTCGTATACTGACGCATGTGCAAAGCTTACAGGATGAAACACGCGTGACGTTGCAACTGCACGACACGAACTCGACGATGGCAAGAGAAGTCGGAGAATGGTATAGGCATACTCGTACATGGACTCGCTTTCTCGTCTTTCCCCCATCTCGATCCCACTTTCCGATGGCTCTGCGACGTGCTGCACCATCCTTTCGCTGTACGGATCTGCCGCTCCCCGTCTCGTAGACTTGTAAGGGCCTGATCAACCCTTACACACTCTGTTGGCGCCGCAGAGCACGAGACTGGGTTGAGCCTGGCGATCATGAGCTGAGACTCCAGCGAGGATAGGTTCCCGGCGTCGTTGAGTTGTCCGCCCGCTTCTTGACTGACATGGACACTGGTTTCGTTCTCTGGATTGTAATGTATGTTGTGCTTTGCATAGTGTCCCGCGTCTCGCTCGGTGCCGCCAGGAGGGGCGGGCGGGCTTTCTGATCAGCCTGTCTGTATGTCTTGCGGATGTAATCAAAGAATCGGATTGCGGCTCTGTCTCTTCACTCGAGAACCCCGAGAATCACACATACCTAAAACGAGTGATCTCTCTGCGATACTGTCAGGCCTGAGGAACTTCTTGTGGGCGTATGGTACAACTGTGACTGTATTCGTCCAAGATCTATATCTCTGCCTTATCAGCGCCAACAACATCGCATCGGCGCTTCATGATCATTGACTGAACTCTCAAGCAAGCACCCCAGTCCAAGTCTCAACCAGATCCGCAACACATACTCCCGCGATGGGGACGTACTGCTTCGTGATCATCTTGATGGCCTCCTGTGCGACTAGACCGCCGAGGAAAGCGGCCACGTTGGGCAGGTCTGCTGTTGGTGCGCGCGCACTGTGCATCGTTAGCATCACTTTAGAATGTAAGAGGAAGGAGAGGAGAGGAGACGTACATCTCGCCACAAGCATTGCTGACTTCCGTCTCGGGGATCTCGGCGTCGGGCGTGAGCATTCCGCGGACGGGGGTCTCGATCTCCTCCGCGCTGGGTCGGATCTAGTTCGACTCGGCATGAGCATGAGTGTATTCGAGCGTAGGATGAAAAGGGTTTCTACCTCCTGCGAGCCAGATGCGGGTGCCGGGTGCGCGGAGGCCCAGTTCCATAGGGATGAAAGCGCGAGGTGGGTGGCGGTTTCGCGTGGGAATATTTGGAGGAGTTCGGCTGCATCATCCCGGTCAGAGTTGTGCCCATTGAGGGAGTTTGAGTCGCGACTGACCGAGCTTCGCCCTATCCTGGTCGAGCGTGCCCCATCGCACACCGTTGAGACGTTGGACGGCATGCGCGTTCTTGAGGAAGAGCGCAACGACTTCGTCGGTTACGGGTGCGCCTGGTGCGAGGAAGGTCTGTGACGTGAACAATCAATTCGTTAGCGTTGAATGCAGCAGAGATGGTTTAGTGAGAGGCATTGGACCTTGAACGTTTGAGCATCGCGTTCGGCCTGTGCGCGGTACAGCCGTTGCAGAGCAACGAAGCTCGTAGTGTCGGCTTTCATATCCGGTACGCTGGCGGTTACGGGCAAGAAGCCGCCGGTGGACGCGACGAACTTCTTTAGCGCTGCGACGAGGTGCGTGAAGGGAGATGCGCCTGCCAAGGCAATGTCAGTATTGCTGCGTCGGGGGGTCGTAGTAAGAAGCGTACCTTCGGGCAAAGGGTCGGGGATACTCTCAAAGAGCGATGTCAAGGATGACGGGAGAGTCGTCGGTGCCCATGTCCGGTAGGCCTGCGCAAGCGCCTCATCGAAGTTCTCCTCATCCGGCTTCTTCTTCATCGCGCCCAATGCATCTTTGAACGCGTTCTTCTCGGCGTATGTTTTGGGTGGTTGACCGTCATGCTACGATGATTTGTCAGCACAATGATATACCAGTTGTGGCACTGATTCCGGTCAAACTTACGGAGGCTCTCCAGTCGTGCATCGCGCGCACGAGGATGAGTGCGTAGGGTATGTGAGCGTGCTCTGTCTCGTCCATGCCATCAAAGTCGATTGCTTTGGCTGCGTCGAGTAGGTGTGGGAAGGGCGAGTCGAGGCGCAGGCTTGGGGCTGTTTCGCTGTGGCTCTCGATGACTAACAGAAACATCAGTCAGAACGCCCATAGTATAGTGAAGATAAAAGTACATACTATCATGCTGATCGAACTGGATACCAAACTCGGCCAAGAAGCCCGCCGAGCGCACGGTGATAAGCGCCGGCGCACGCTCGCGCGCTGCCCAGAGAAGCGCGCTGAGAGCGTCCATCTCGCCCTTGGGCACATTGTGCGCGATCACGAGCGTGAATCCCAATATCCATTCGGGATCCTTCTCGATGACCTCCTTCAAACTCCTCGTATCCGCCTTGCCCTCAACTCCATCGTTCAGCTCAAGTAAGAGCGGTACAGCCTCCTGCGCGCGGTTCTTCCCGATCGAGCTGGGCCCATCGAGGAAGAAATTATTTCCTGCGTCTGCGCCTGATACGTCCAATGGATCGAGCACAGTGAAGTGGCCTATTCCGGGCAGAACGAGGTTCTTGAGGATGGAGGTTGATGTGGCGGTGGCGCCGATCACTAATACGCGGGAGGATTCGAGCGCGGATTGGCCTGTTGCGGCCCAGAGACGCAGTTGGCGGTCGTAGCGCCGTGTCTTGGCGTCGGGTGCGCCGGTTTGGACGGCTGTTGTTGCGGTCTCTAGCGTTTGGGAGTCGGGTGGCGCCATCGTGGTATGCTGACAGTCGCGTCTGAGGCGCGCGCGAGGCGGGCACGCGTCTTGCGCGTCTGCCGCGGGTTGGTTCTGGTCTGCCATGATTATGTAAGCTGTACCCAATGCAGGTACATATGTAGCACTTCCGAGAGTTCTTCGCGTATGATGCGCCCTAGGCGATGTCGCCGCACTGAGATGAGCTGAGGTATAAACCAGGGAATCTATGTACGCGCGTATGAAGTTGGCGGGCCGGCGCCAATGGAATTATGGACCACGCATGTTGATATGCATATGGCTTTCCTGCTCTGCACGAGCGATATGTTGCAAGAGCATGTTCGGTACTCCTTGAGAAGTCAGCGCGAGATTTTGAGGGGATCTTATCATGTATACTTTGAAGAAGCAAGGAAGGAGACACAGGAAATGACTATTCGTACAGCCGACACGGTGCGATATCAAGATGAGTACAGTTTACGGATGAATGGGAGTGATCGACCACGGGCATCAGTCTCGGCCATGATTAGCGTTACAGGGGCTTCAAGTGGGCTCAGGGTTGCGATCGAACAAAAAAAAAATACAATTGAAGTTGTGTGAGGCGGTACGCTTCCTTTTGTGGTGTATTCTTCACACAGGCCAGTATCTCCGTAGTTGTGATGTTAATGCTCGTCAACATCGTTCTCTATGTACAGTTCCCGCTGTTAGATCAGTGATGCTCTCCTGCAGCAAGAATGACATACCGAGAAGGACTCGTTGGCATGATTCAGTCTCTGCATGAGGATTTGAAGCTGGGCGGAGTGCCGCTTGGCGCAGAGGAAGCGTTTGACTAGGCGCTGACGAGCAATAGCGTCCATCTCTGTGCACACAGCCTTGACATCTCTACACATGCTTTCGTCAATAGTTAACCTAGGCTTGACGAGCTTGAACATACTGCGCAAAGGCCCGAATAGCCGCCTCGAGTGCAGGCGAAAGGACAGTGGCGTCTGGAATGGCACGTACAAGCGACGCCGCGATTGCGTCGATCTCAGCGTATGTCTCGCCAATCTGCGCTTCGTTTCCAGATACACGCTAGACATTTGTTATGAGCTAGACGGTCCATCTCAAGAAAGGACTCATGCGCACCTCGACTTGTGTTGCGAAGAAGAGCAGTCCGCCGACGACGCTCTTAAGCGGAGGAAAGACGTCGGCGGACTGTGCCAGGGCCTCAAGGCCGAGAATCAGAGCGTCTTTGACCGTATCCTTCACGATACGCTTCGACCCTGCACGGGTTCTTCCGGCTTCCGTGATGGCGAGAGATACCAGTACGGAGTCCACCGCGGGCGATGTTACGTCCGAGAGCGAACGAGACACAATTGCGTTCTCGCTGCTGGCCTGAGTTGATTCTACAGCCACAGTGCGTCGCTTGAGTCGTACGATAGGTCGAGTGCGAGTAACGATCTGAGTAGCTGCCTGAACTCGTCGAAAGACAATGTTCGGCATGTCGATATCCGCGAAATGGTGGAGGGAGCCGAGAGACCAGTCGAGAGACCAGGGGTGCAAGGAGAAGGAGCAAGCCAAGAAGGGATCCAGGTAGCCAGCTATGCGCATCGTACTCCCGTAGGAATAGACGCTGCGATGCTGTCCTATTCGGCCAGGATAACAGGCGTATGTATTGATTCATCTCGGTGTTTCCCGAGAGCCTCGAGTAGCTAGCGTTACCAAGCCTAATCCATTGTGCGCGTGAGACTTCCTCGCGTCCTCACTTGGAGTAGTACATCTAATCTCGATGTCCATGAATGAGCGACCAAGCAATGACATGGTGGTCCGAAGCAAGCGCGTTTCCTGGGTTCTCTGACGCACTGACGTCGGGCTTGTCGGCTCGACCGGTCCGGTCGTGATCCGTGCGGTCTGCTGAAAGCGCTGAGCGCGCGGACTCCTCACGCTGACGAGGAAGGCCTAACGCTTAGTGCGCAGTATAGAGTGGGCCATGAAGTGCTATCCAAGGCGGACGTCTATGTACAAGGCATCTATGTCGGTACAGATTTGGGGCGGAACACTGTAAGTGGCAGAATACCGGATCCGTGCGCAGATGGAGTGGGGAGAGAGCGATATGTACAGGTAACGTATATTTAGGATTATGAGATGGATGGCGAGTGCATTCTAGATTAGATAGGCCATAGAGCTAGAGGTTGTTATGACAGAACTAAAGGTACGTTGCGGTGTACCCTGCCCGACGTCCAATCCAGGGCAACAGACACATTCCAACTCACTAGCGCGCTATCAAAAAAAAAAAGATATGCGACCGGCACCTAGAAAGTTCACGGATCTCGGTCTGCAGACAATGTATGGTCTCGACGCAGTCTAGGATCCGGGTGCACTTCGTTTCTGTGCTGGACAGGAGTGTACGCTGTAAGAACAAGTTTGAGTGGTCATCCCCATTGGCGGTCGAAGGAGACGTACGCGAAACGAAGCATCGGCTTGATCGAGCTGGCGTGACAGGTCTTGCAGGTCGCCAGAGTGTCTCTTAGCGCGTAGAAAGCGCACAATGGGGTGCTTCCCTTCGACCTTGATGTCTCTGATGTCTCTATCAACATCGTTCAGATTACTTTTGTGGGTTTAGGTTGCTGAGATAGAAGACAAGATCATACGTACCCCGCAAGTGCTCGTATGGCATCTTTGTGTACATGCGACAGAGAGGTTGCATCTGAGACTGCGTGTGCCAAAGACGCCGTAAAGCTGTTGATTTGCGCGTATATCGCTTCGATCTGAGATTGATTGTTGGAGACAAGCTATCTCTCTTGTTAGTCGCATAGTGAGTGCAGCAGAGGCAATAAGACACGTACGTCGATCTGCTTTGTGAGGTAGAGTAGGCCGCCAATGGCGCTTTTGAGCGGTGGAAACGCGTCGGCTGATTCTGCGAGTCCTTCCAGACTGACAAGTAGCGCATCCTTGATCAACGCACTGCTTGTACATCGTCGTGACGACTTCCGCAGCGAGAACTGGGAAGGATGCCGTAGAGGAGCACAACCAACATGTAGGTCGGCATCCGGGAGACGCTCGGTCGAAGGCGTGTAGGTGTTCGTAGGGGCGATAGACATGTCTTCTTTGGACTTCGGGCGGCGGCGTATGCGCGTCGCCGATAGACGCCTCGCGAAGCCAGCAACAGCTGCCTTACACCGGACTATTGAGTTGAAGCGAACGGGCATAGAGCAAGATAACAACGCAGGGGGCTCAGGTAGGCGGTACAAGGAGAGGAGGAGCGGCCAGTCCCATGTATAGTACTTCGTGCTCAGTCGAAGTACAAGTACACAGCTTGTGATCCAGAGAGTACATCCGACAGCGTACGGTGTTTGGTGTCCTTGGTCCAGTCGCCGCTTGGCCGAGACGATGATAAGGCATCTGGGCAAGCGCGAGATGCGGGAATGGCCGGGAAGCTGTCCTGTCACCTGGATTCGAGCCGGGCAGGGAAGCGCCGGGAGCCCAAGGGAGCGTCCAAACCATCCAACTTCATCCAACTGGACAGATCCTGAATCGCTCATATATAACGACTTGAAGGCATCTGCTGGCTGCAATCATGCGAGCACATCGCGCACGGCGACGCCGTGAATGCGTCTCCGGCCAGCATTGCGCTTGCTGCCTTGCGTGTCCTCCGCCATCCCACAGCACTCCGGTTCATCACCGTCATCTTGACAGCGTAGAGGCCATGTCGTCGGATAGGCGACAATGCGTCTAACTGCGCTGGGAGCAGCAGCATTATACGATTTGGGACTGTTATATAATCGCATCCAGCGCTCAGCCGAAATGTGGCCATCTCGGGCTCGCGACGCGGTGGGAAGCTGATGATGGTCAAGTTCAAGGAGGGTGCGCTGCGACGCGCGACTCGTTTCTTGCCACCACGATGCGCACGCGCGTCACCTCTTGATCGGGCGTTTCTACGAACCAAAAGTGACATGATAACAAGTCCGAAGGATGAACTGGTTTGCCCATGTTATGATGCCTCCCTGCGCGCGTGTGAGTTTGGACGGCCACGTATCGACCTCCTGTCATCTTCCAGAAGCTCTATTGCCTTTTCCGAAGCTCGCAGGCGCTCACACATGCCAGTTCGGCCAAGATCTTCGCGCTCCCAAAGCGTCTTGCGGAATCACCGGAACTCGATGACAGGCGAAGATAGCGGCCATCTCACGAACCGGGTCCGCAAGGCGATACACTGGCAAACCCTCACTCAACTCTTACCCCCCATCACTGACTGAATAGCTCCCACCGCCAACTTACCGAAAATCTCCTTAATTCGTATGGCTACGCCTCTATCGCCTAGTCTAGGAAAGTCAGGAGGGCGAAAAGTAGAGCCTTACCCTACTAATACCCCCGCTCGACCGCCTCGTTCTATTCGTCCTCCTCGTGGCATACCTGGACTGAGCATCAAGACCAGCCATCTTGTTGTACACCGCACGTTCACTTCCATTTGTAGCTGACCTCTTACTTATGAATATCCGCGAAACAGTGATCAGTTGCTCCGGCGTGCCTCAGGTTCTGTCTGGTCCCTGGGCTGCCCGCACGTACTACGTGGTCTTCAAGGGCAAGCTCAGGTTCGGAAGCCCCCTTAAGATCAAGTCCAGTCATGCCACAGTGAGCGAGGATGACGGTGTCCTAATCTGGGACGAGAAACTCTACCTGTCAGCCTTGTCCCGCCGCTCTATCTTGACCCTCATACTGATGATCGAGACAGGGAGTACATGCGAACAACCGATATCACGATTCAGATCATAGCACCCCATACCATCGGCAAAAGTGTCATAGCTGAAACGACCGAGAAAGCCGTGGACCTGCACTCCAAACCTGAACGTGCGTATGCTCGCCCTATCATTCCGATCGAACCCGGCTTGAGCATTCGATTTACCAGTGAAGATTCCTTTGTGCGGCGGCGACGGATACTGTACTCTACAACTTGCGATCTACAAAGATGATGACGCCTGGGGTGAGGTATCGACTGTACTTAGCCGCTTACCCTCTCCGGCTCGATTGACCTCCAGTCCTCTTCTATCCCGAGTCGATGGTGCTACTTCAAGCGAGAGTGTCATGCAATCGACGGCCACGCATGTATGGAAAACTCTCCTCGACAAGATCGATGATGTAGCGGATGCAGTAGAGGCACTCTCACAAGTACGTAATACGACACCACCCTCGCGCCTAAACTGAGCAGACGCAGATACACCCGTACGCCCAGATTGCCTGGAGCGTCATCGGAGCGGGATACAAGGCATGCCGCTTTAACCCTGTGCAATCAACGTTCCTTTGAACGGCATACTTATAGCTTGCGAAGAACCAGCAGGATCGTGACGACAAGCTGGCGTCATTGATAGAGACGATGCAGAATACTTATGCTGCTGTCAGTGCGACCAAGTCTCTCTCACGAATGCGTCCCGAGCAGGAGGCAGCACTGATATCGCTGATGAAGCAGACCACTGAATGTGGTTACTTCGTCATCGAATACATGAGGAAGACGTTCGGTGAGTGCCTCTATTCTGCCATTACACGCCTGCGTCTAAGATGGTCCTTGTTCAGTCACTCGCGCAGTTCACGGGTTTTTGTCCAATGTCGACAAGACCATTGAAGATTACTGCTCGCGTTTCGTGGAGCTTCGTACCGCTTTCGTTAACCATACCTCTATCGCGACACAAGTGCTAGTACAACTCGTTCTTGACAAGACGGAGACCCTCGGTCAGTCCCCTCATGATTTACAGACAACAAACTATATCTCTGTCCTATCACAGAAGCAACGGTCGAACTTGTTGATATGCCATTCACCAAGACAGCACGATGGCGCAGCGGCAAACAGTGCCTGCAGGGCACCCGGACGGAAATGATATCGTGCATCTTGAACTGGGCCAATCTCTCCGAGTACTCTTCATCGCGCGTGCTTCTGCTGACAGGATCGGCGGGAACCGGGAAATCTTCCGTGGCCCACAGTGTCGCTCGTTACTTGAATGAACTTTCACGTCTGGGGGCATCGTACTGTTTTGAGAAGAGTGACACTGTCAATCACCGCCCTGGTCTGCTCTTTCCGACTCTTGCTCGCGATCTGGCCGATTGTCACCCACTGTTCAAACGCAAACTCGCTCACATTGCCAGAAGTGCGACCTTGCGAGCCACACCTGATCTCGACGACCAGTTTGAGAATCTGATCTTGAAGCCTCTATCAGAGCTCGAGTACATTGGTCCGTTGATCATTGTGATCGATGCATTAGACGAAAGCGCTAGTCCCAAGGATCGGCGCAAGCTACTGGAGATACTGGCCAGGCGTCTCGACGAGCTTCCGGTCAACATCCGCTTCGTGATGACCTCTCGTCTCGAAGACGATATCATGCAATCTTTGGGAGCTGCGCGATACGTCTCACGTCTGGACATGGGTCAGATCCCGTCGTCATCCACGATCACGGACATTACAAAGTTCATCTCTAGCAGACTCGTTGGAATCGATGGGCAGCCAGTACAAGTGTTCAAGAATGAGCATTATCGGCATCTGGCTGAAAAGTCGGAAGGACTATTCCAATGGGCTGCTGTCGTATGTGACATGATCTTGCACGGCGAAGACATGGATTACTATCTTGCAGACGAGGACATGCTATCACACTATGAGCGATTCTCTTCTTTATCGGCTGAATCGACGTCTACCGGTGTTCTCGATGACCTGTATCGTGATATACTGCTTCGTAGTGTCCCTATGTCACAGGCCCAAGGCCGCCGGGAAGGTTCCAAACATCTCCAAACATTCCGCAAACTGCTCAGCCCGATTCTTGCCGCAGTACAGCCTCTATCCGCACGTTCATTGTTTCGTTTGTTGCTGTTTTCCGAATCTGATCAACGCGTTTCAACGTCCATGCTTCGCCGGCTCGGAGCACTTCTCACCGGAGTGCACGACGTAGATTCGCCTATCCGTCTTCTCCACACTTCATTCCGAGACTTCCTGCGTGATCCGTCCGCAAGCGAGGCCTACTATATTGACCCAGACGCCTCTCACCCTTCATTTGCTCTCGGCTGCGCCCAGGTTCTCAATATGGAGCTTCGTTTCAACATCTGTGCTTTGGAGACATCATATGCACTGAACGAGGAGGTCGAGGACATGCACGCCAGACTGATTGAACATGTGTCGGCTCCGCTGTCGTACGCTACCCAGCATTGGGGAAATCATGTCGCGGCCGCGTCTTCACTCGATGAATCATTAATGGAGGCTATCTCGTTCTTTCTGCATGATAGATTCCTCTTCTGGCTCGAGGTGCTGAGCTTATCGGGCTCGCTGCACACGGCCCTACCCGCTCTCGCGGCTCTGCGAGACAAGAGCATACCCGCGAACCTGGATGCTCTTGTGGCAGACTATGTTCGATTCATACGGGTATTCAACTATCCGATCAGGTCCTCGGCTCCTCACATCTATATCAGCGCCTATGCACTCGCGCCCAGTACTTCCCTTGTGCGCCTGCAGTCGTACTCGCTTGCCTTGCAACATCTCGTGCGCGTTTCAGGCCCTTGGGATCATTGGCCAAAGACGGATGTGATCATTGACACGCACGATCATATCCTGTCTGTGGCATTCTCGCCGGATGGTCGTTGCATTGCATCCTCGTCGACGGATAATGAAGTATCGCTTTGGAACGCGGAAACCGGTTGGCTCATCTGCGAACCGCTCACGGGTCATGTTGACACAGTCGCCGCTGTGGCGTTCTCTCCCGATGGGTACTCGTTGGTCTCCGGGTCTCACGACACGACCCTACGCATTTGGGATATCGGCAGGGCAGAACTGGGTATCACGGTTGGAATGCAGCTCATGGGGCACTCCGACCGCGTGAATACGGTTGCCTTTGCACCAGGCAGTCATTGCATTGCATCTGGATCGGATGATATGAGCGTGTGTATCTGGAAGCCTGACTCAGGTACCTACGTACCGATGATCTTGAGGGAACATGTTGGAGGAGTTCTGTCCGTTATGTTTTCACCTGATGGACAACGGCTCGTGTCCGCTTCCACAGATGGATCTGTGTACCTATGGGGAATCGAATCGGGGGTACTGTTGCAGAAACTGTTGGGCGGCCATATGATGCCGGTAACATCGCTTGCGTTCTCTCCCGATGGGGCCACAGTCGTTTCAGGGTCTATGGATGCATCCTTATGTCTCTGGGACGCGAATACAGGTCGATTCCGTGATCGCCTCCACGGTCATACTCGTGCAATCACGTCGTTAGCCTATTCGCCGAACAGCAATCGGATCGTATCTGCCTCTGATGACCAACTACTATGCGTCTGGGACATGGCACAAGACGCGATTGGCAATCACTGGCAGGCATCGCGATTTGACGGCCATACGGGAAGTCCGAGGTCTGTGGCTTTCTCCCCCGACGGGCGACAGATCGTCTCTGGCGGAGAGGATAGAACTATTCGCGTATGGCTGGTCGATAACCAGTCTGGCGTCGATTTCGCGTTCGATGAGACCGATACCTCGGTCAATTCCGTCTTCATCTCGTCCGAGGGTACCCGATATGTTGTCAGATCTCACGATCAGAGCGTGAGGGTGCGTCATGTTGTCGATGACATGCCAATTGGGAGACCACTGCAAGACCAGGTCGGCGAGATAACTTGCGTAGCATTCTCCCATGACGGACGTTTAGTCGCTCTTGGAGGGGAGGACTGCGGGGTGAATATATGGGACGTCGGGACCGGCCTGCACGAAGTTGGCCTGAGAGGACATTCCGGTCCCATATCATCCATAGCGTTTTTCCCTGACGCTCGCCACTTTGTGTCCGCCTCGCATGATGCAACTCTTCGCATCTGGGATCTCACGAGGCAATGCCTGGCGATGAACCCGCTCGAAGGGTGCACGAAGGAGATCACGTCCATGGCTGTTTCCCTCGACGGACGGATGCTTGTTGCGGGCTCAGTTGATGGTTCCATACGTATCTGGGACACGCAGAGAGGCAGACTGTCGCGCACAATCAACGGCGAGCCACACATCCCGATCCGAGCTGTGGCCGTTGCACCTAATGCGCGCTTCATCGCCGGTGGCGGCGATGACTGCTCGGTGAGAATCTGCAACGCGCAGACCGGTCAACTACTGTGGAGGTCCAGTCTTGGTCATAGCGCCGCCGTCACGTCTGTCGTATTCACTTCAGATGGACAATTGGTCATCTCGGGGTCCCTTGACTGCCGTATACGTATCTGGAAGAATAATGGTGCACTAGCGGACGAGCCCCTTGTGGGACATACTGGTGCTATAACCAGCGTAGTAGTACCGCAATCTACCGTGGCGTCTACGCCCAGCCATATCGTCTCATCTTCCACCGACCGTACTGTGCGCGTATGGTCAACAACCGCGCATGGACATAATACGCAGCGTGCATACCTGTTCTCGAAGAACCCATTGCATGCCTTAACCGGATATCCAAGTCTAGAGCTCGCGCGACGCTCTTCGGAACCCAACCCACAAGCTATCAGGTTCACACTCACGTCCGATTGGTGGATCAAGGACGAAACTCATGATCCACCTCGCGTTCTACTATGGATTCCACCGGAGATGCGAGACGGCTTGTACATGCCTAACACAGCGCACATCAGTGGACAGCGCACATACCAACTTGACTTCAGTGACTTCGCGCACGGCGCACGATGGGCGGACTGCTGGAAAGGTGAAGGGATGAAGTACCAGTAGTACCTTCCATTCGAGATTGTATAAAGTACATGTTTGCGACCACGAGTCCGGTCTGCTTATGCGTAGAATGCACGACCGAGATGATTCACAACGCCGAATAAGCCAGTGATGGCGAGCGTGTAGAGGGCAAACTTGAGCTTGCGCGACTGGTACCCGACTGCACCAGCAGCGTCGAGCCGGGCGACATCTGCCGTGGACAACGCTGTACAAGTGAATCAGTCTCGACATAGCACAGTTCAGAAGTAGACGGTGTTACGTACGCAAAGATGCAGCAGCAAGATAACTCTCGAGACGATCCTTCTTCGAACTCGTCCTATGCGCATGCCTTAGGAGGATGTATGCGGGACGAAAGGGAATCAAACGTACGTTACGACCACCGCGCCCTTAGCCTTGACCCAGGCCAGCAACACCTGCTCTGGCTTCGCGTTGAGCTTCGCAGAGATCTCGGCAAGTGGCTTGTCGAGCGCGCCACCAGGCAGTTGCGTGATGGGACTAGAAGAGCAATCGTGAGCAGCGGGAAGGGACTCGAGACGGTAGGATACGCACAGAAGTGCGCTGTATGCCTCAACGATGATGCCGTTCGCGGCACAGAGGGCAAGAGTTGGGGCCTGCCTCGCATGCACGTATGGGTGAAGCAGAATCTGCATGAAGCGGTTGAGCATCCATATGAACCGTCGTGTACGGTGTAGAAAAGACTAACCTGGTTCGCTGCCGGCTTAACCTTTGCTGTTGCAAGCAACTCAGTGAGCTCCGTTACGCCGAAGTTGCTGACGCCAATGCTCTTCGCGAACCCAGCGGCCTTAATCTTCTCCATCTCGGCCCAGGCCGTCTTAATGTCGGGTTGCGCGAGGCGTGGGTGGTGAATCAGGTACAAGTCGACGTACTTCACGTTCAGCTTGACAGAGTAGGTTGTTAGAGAGAGAGCAGGATCGTTTGCGTGCGAGAAGGTATGTACCTTCTTGAGAGAAGCCTGAATACTCTCTGCGATGCTGAGGTTGTCGCGTCCAGAGAACTTGGTCGTGATGAAGATTTCCTCGCGCTTGAGACCACTGGATGCGATGGCTTTGCCTGCCTCTTCCTCGTTGCCGTACGACTGTGCGGTATCTGCGTCAACGTAAGGCTTTAGTTACTCCTTGCACTGCGGTTGAGGCAACACTGACCGACATGGTCGAAGCCGGTCCCCAAAGCCTACAGTACACTATCAGCAATGAAGTCACATGTCTAAAATAGCCTGGGCGAACCTGGTCAACCTGACCAATAGCGTTGTCTCCGTTACCGAGAGTCCAAGTACCGTAGGCGATGGCCGGAATAGAGTTGCCTGTTCATGCTTAAGAATAGATACTTCAAGTAAGAAATCATTTATCTCACCGTCATTCAGCTTGTACTCTCCCCATGCCTTCTCAACGGTCACAGCCTGGAGAGTGTGGCCGTCAATGTAGGTCTGGGTGCGCGGCCTCCACGGCGCGAAGTCGACTGTGACGGCGCCAGCCTTCTCGTCGAGATATCCGGCCTTCTCGTTGATGTACTCGGCCATGGTGGTCGTTGTCAAAGAGCAAGGTGCGATAGGCAGGCTCCATGGCGCGATATATAAGGGCTATCTCGCGCTCGCGGGAGCATCATACCCGACGAGGTACTCGCGCGCGCATGATCGCGCGTTCGGTCATCGCGACGTCGTTGCTTTCGCAGGTTCCTTTTCGCGCGCGGAGCGTCTCTCATGCGGGGCAAACGCGACAACGTGACTGACGCGACAGTCGCGTATTCTGCATCGGCAGACTGGACGAGATATATTCAGGATGGCTCTGAGCAGAGGTGCGTAAGGAGTGGTCGGGACTGAGACGCGCCGGGCAGGCACATTGCGGGCGCCCGAGTTCTCAGGGGTCCGAGGCGTCTCTTTAGCCTTCACAGCAACCACCACCACCACCGTTAATTCGAGCATTGTTCATCCTGCTATGGACTCGTGGACGTGATTTGGTACCGCAATTAGGCTTGGACCCAAGGGATGTTGTTGCTCTTCGTCCTTCCCGACCGCCTCATGAGGTCGGGGCTATTGGGGGGGTGGCCAGCAAGCAACACGTCCTCCCTCGGATGCCGTGCTGCTGAAGCTTCCAGAATCATGACTTGGGACAAGTCTACTTCGTTTCTGATTGTTATCTCATTTAATCGTGTCCATCTTCGCGTCCACACGGAATAAGAACCGCGCGAGGTCATGGTATTCCTCTGTTGAATACTAATTGTCCTTCTTCTGTCAGGCTTCTGCTGGCGATCTACCGTTGTATCGTTCAGTCACTGAACTTACGCGGCAATGGGTCTCTTGTGATCTTGACCACCTTCTAGTCGCCTTCCATCTTCAGTCCAGTTCTCTGCGACATGACCATACACGCCGTCCGCCTTGGACCCACTATCGATAAGAAGCCACGTCCAATCCCACGGCCCATGCGCGTTGGGCCCATTGTTGCCTCAATGCACCGCATCGTGGCCACAGCGTGCAGGCTCTATAAGAGCACTGCGAAACTTCTACTGACAGGACTATAGTCACATTCACCACCCCGCATCGTCTCTCACTACACCTGCGCTTCCATGTCTCACCCATAGTACGTCGCGCACGCCTTCCATCGACACCAAACTGACTGATCGTAATAGTTCCGGCCCATCACGCAACTATACCCCGCACCGAGAAGCACCAATCTTCGCGGAATCGCCTTCACATCCTGCGCGCTACAGCACCGCACCACGAAGCGGAGTGAAACGCACATACACAAGCGCAGACGGCGATCCAGAATTGAGCCGGAGCGCGAAGAAGCCCCGAGACCGTGAAGCTTACGATCGGGCAAAGAGTGCTATGGATGCCTTCCATTCGAGTCAGACGCGTCCTCTTCGACCGGTATACGGTGATACTTGGAGGGAGGGGCTGAGGTCCGTCATCGCCGGCACACACCATCCTTCGCCAGCGCCTGTCGACCAGTACGGGGACGAGATCAAGCACCCGTGGTATAGGCCTGTGCGGAAGTCGGCGGAAGAGCTGCGAGCGCATATGGTCAAGTGGGGAGAAGCTATTGACGGAGAGCTTCGTAGTACGGCTAGACGGAGAGGAGACGTCGACGATGGCCGAAGCAGGAAACCGGTTGACGAAGCGACGCCGAAGGCTACGGCTTTTCATGAGCCGACCAAGACCTATATCAGTCGCGCATCGGATGTATGCACTCATTCGTACGGCGGGTCCGTACTGGCGGGCGTAGGCGTCAACGCTGGGTCTGGAAAGGCGTCGGCAGTGTGATCAACCCAGTCGTCGCTGGTTATCTTATCGTCTCGCATCATCTCATCGTCTCGTCATCGTCACGTACTGCATATGTGTATTTTACTTAGTATATCTTCATAGGGGCCATTCTCCTCTTGACCAAGACGGGTCAGTCCATGCATTACGTTGTCGGGTCAGAAACAAGACAACATATCCCTTCAACGTCTGAGACCTGTCGTCACGACTTCCTGCCATCCAGAATACAACTCAAATGACAGGCCAATAGCGCTGCTTCGATATGTTCTTATCACTTGACTTGACCATGACAATCGCAAGTTAGCACGAATCATGCAACTAAAGGACTAGCAGAAGAAAGCATTGACAATTAACGCAACGCTAGAGTACATGCATGCAAGGGTAACAAGTGCGTGGTAGGGTATGGCAAAGCACTACGAATCATGCAGAGCGATCGGCTTAGAGGCCGAGCAGGGAGATGATAGAAGCAACGTTGAGCTGGAGGATGACGGGGATGAGGTCGCCGATGAGGCCGACGAGGGTGGCAAGGAGGCCGCCGAGGACACCGCCAACGAGGGCGAGGACGGCGTTGATGAGAGCAACGAGGCCAGCACTGAAGCAAAATGCGTAAGCGATGGATGTAGAGCTAATGCAAACAAAAGAACCTACACAATGGGGCCAAGGGCGGCAAGGAGACCAGAGAGGTCGCCCTGAACAGCGCCGAGGAGAGCACCAACAGCGCCGAGCACGAGCGAAAGGACGTCGGCGAGGAGCTTGGCAACATCGCCAACAACGAGGGTTGCACCACCGTCGGCGGATGCGAGGATCTGCTCGATGGGGAGACCAGAGAGGGCCTGAACCTCGTCGACGGTGCCGCTCAAGATCGTGACGACCTTGCTGGTGATGGGTGCGACGGCGGCGGAGATCTCATCGACGGTCTTGCCAGTGCCGGTGAGAGCAGCTACACAGGATGATCAGATGCTATTCGAAACACGATTCAGGGGACGGAACTTACTGATCTCTGCAACGACGGGGTTGAGCTGGGTGGTCAAGTCGGAGATGACTGCCTGGAGGGTCTTGGTGGCGTCGTCGCGACGGCCAACCTCGACCTCAGCGCCGGCATCGACACCGACGAGACCGAGAAGGTTGGCCTTGGCACCTGCCTCAACCTCAGCGAGGTCACGGACGTGTGCAGCGGCGCCGACATCAGCCTTGGCGAGACCAAGGACATCGGCATCAACACCAACAAGGGCGTCAAGGAGAGGTGCGGCGGAGGCGGAGATGGCGAGCGCGCCGACGGTGAAGAGCTTAGCGAAGCCGAACATCTTAAAGAGAGTGTGGGTGGTAAAGAGAGTGGGTGAGTGGGTGAGAGAGCTTGGGAAGCTGAGAGCGAACCGAAGACGGAGAAGACTGTGAGTCTGGAGAATCTTGGCTCGGTTCGTACGCGAAGCTTTATACCCGAGGGTGCTCGTGAGCAGCGTACGCGCGCACGCCAGAGAGAAGGCGAGCACGAGCGTGATGTCACCTCCCGCTTGACCAAATTCGGGGTGCGTTCGCAAGATGGAGCCGGAGAAGATGCACGAGAATTAGTTCGTGATCGGGATGGGCGGGAGATGCGCTACAGATGTAACAAGATCTCTGCATCCGGGGAGCCCTTTGTGCAACGCTGCATATACGCTCCAGGTACCCTTCAGAAGTCTGAGCCAAGTGTCAACGAGAAAGAGAGTAGAGAGCCTACATAAACATGAATTTGACGAGGCAGAGAGGTCAGGAGCGCAGTCAAGGATGCGCGCCGCGCGCGCGTTCTCCGAGTCCGTCACTACTGCCGCCGGTCTCAGTGTCGGCATTCGACGATCAATATATCAACAAACCTAACAAGTGCGTTTCATCAAGCCGTCAGCCTTGCGCACGCAGCGTGTATTCTTGTCGCCATTTCGCGCCTATTCCTCTTGTGAAGTCTCAGCTCAAAGGGAAGCGTATTTGACTGCATCTCAGTAGTCGAAGGCTGGCAGACTTTCGCAGTCCGCACCAGACTAGACGTATACAGCCGTGTCCTTGTCCTCGTAAAGTTCATTGATGAAATGGGAGCATGCCGTGCGCGTTGCTAGGGGCACGCAACCGACGTCGTTGAGCGCGGGGTCCGCCGTTGGGGAACAGAGTTAACCTCCACCGGCCCGTAAACGCGTGTTGTGCTTCTCGTATACGAGGCTCCACTCGTCGTTAGAAGGTGTACGGCAACGCTGGGGGCTCGTAGCGAGGCTTGTTGTACAGTAGGCAGGATGGTACCGGGTTGTCGGTATACCCTTGAGCTATGACAGGATCCCAGTACTGAAGCCTCATCTTTCCCCGCACTTCAACGAGTCCAGAAGGAGCGCGGTTGTGTTCTTTCCGGGAAGACGTGTAGGATGGTACGTGCTCCGGAAAGCTTCGCATCTCGGATAAAAGTCCATCATAGCGTTGAAGGGCTGATGCGACGACCGGAGAAATGCATCAACCTCCCGATATCGCCATTGATTGCGTAGATGGGAACGTTCTTGCGCAGGGAAGCGGTCCAAAGCTCTAGCAGACTTCACAAGTGCGGATCGGATAAGCAGGGAGTATTGTCCGCTACAGGATTACAGTCCGCGCTGAAGGGGCAGGCGCGAACGGCACTGCACATGTTTCGGAGGGCGGGGCAAGTAACAAAGCTTGGGTAGTCTTCGGGCGACGCGAAATTGGAGCGACAGATGTATGACGTGCTGCGTTGCGTCCGGGGTTTGGTCTCGCCTGTGCTCTGGATATTTGCGCAGCGTTGACGCCGGAGAGCGCCGACACTGTGAAACCTTCGGAGAGGCGCCCAGCCTTCCATGTGCGAGATGGCGAGGTATACGTAGCAAGCGGGATGCGTGATGGTGTATGCTGTTGGCGGCATACAGCAGAGAGGCCGTGTTTCATGCCGCGAGTTGAACACTCGATCCGTAGGGTATTCATGGGTAGATACCGCGCAACAGATCCAGCGCGCGTGATAATCTGCCGAGAAGTAGAGCTATGATAGTTGCGGAGAATTGCTTTGAGAGCATGCGCGTCGTACGAGCGATGTGTTGAGGTGTGCTGCCGCACGACACGGGCGGTTTCACTGCACCGATGATGTACCCCGAAGCGTGGATGGGTACCCACGTCACCCAGTAAAAGTGATGCTCAGAGAGCCTCTGAGTTGCTTATGGATCGCATGAGAAGGAGTTGCTCAATCTTCGGTGCGACCGAGATTGACGAGGCAAGAAGGCCATTTCCAGTCACGGCGGTTAGGATCTGGTCAAACAGCATCATAGTTACAATCGGAGGTCATTCATACAGTTTGCCGGATAACATCCTGCAATTCGGTGTACGAAGCTTCAGCGTGGCGGTGGTGGTGGTTGGGAACAACGTAGACGCCGAGGAGCGCCGCTAATCCGCCGCGCGCGAGAAGAAAAAGACCATGCGCGTGACGTCACGCGTCGACGTCCTCTCCAGCCCGTCGCGCCGCTGCTCGAGTTGCAGCGGGCGACCATCGACTCGCGACGGGCGTCGAAGCTATGATACTGAGAAAGCTTCCCAAACGTAGGAGCGGGTACACTACATTGCTCGTGCCTCTATGCCTACGGGCTATGGTGGCCTCCGCGTACCTGTGAGCGCATATGTCTCATCCAGTGCTCTCGGCAGACAATGGACTGGTTTCGCTGGCCGCTCTGAATCTCTAAGCTTTGACTAGCACAGATGACATGATGCAAAGCTCCCGCCTACTGTAGATTCATACGACGACCTTGTACGTCAGCGTTATTACTCCACTGCTCCAGTTACAAGTACACGGATACTAAGAACAGCGCGCCACGCAGGCCTGTCGGACTCCCGTCTTGCGCTGTACATGGAGAATGGCTGACGAGGGAGTCAGAGCTCGTTATGCCTCATATGGTATGCATTGATGGTGATAAACCGTATAGTCAGCGGTGGTACATCAGCTCTTCGGATGTGTCTGGTACGATGTGAGTACTCTTGTAATGAGGATGAAGCTAGCGCAACCACACGCCGGGTATAAAAAGCTGCGTATTAGCTCGATCGAGACGGTGTGACAGATGCACCTCTGTGCTGTCAGCGCAGTAATCTGAATCGCATACTTGCATCGTGGTACGCGAAGAGACGTGCCAATGCCTTTGTCGACCTGAACGCATCTGCAGACAAGCGAGTCATCTCGATCATGCCCGACAAACCCTCCTCAAAACCCTTCTCGCTGCACATGCGCATGCGCATCTCATCCGGCCCCGCACCGCCCGTCGGCACATATCTCCGCCTATCGAGCATCCAAGCATCACAAAACGCAACGTCCCTGACTCTCGACGACGTCGTCGACGCCCAGAGGTCGTACGAAGCACGACTCGACTTCATGGAAGCGCAGCCTTCGCCGTCGGTCCCGCTCCGCTGCAGATCGTGTGACAGGGAGCGGTTTGTGCTTGAGAGTGTAAGGGAGCTGCCGGGGAAGGAGCATTGGTTGGCAGGATTATCGTGCGGAGATAGGGTTGGGGTTATGGCGCTTATAGTTGGTGCGAATGAACGGTGTGGACTGAGGAGATAAGCTTGGGACATTGACGACGATCGTAGCGCTGTACGAGGAAGAGCATGCTTGTTCGTACGCTATCGGGGATGCGGGGCGTGGAGCTGGCGCGAGTCGCGTTGCGTAAAGAGAGGCCGTCCGCGAATGACTCTGAATGTTCACGAGCTTCGCACCTGCTCTATACCTGACTTCGTGTATTCTCCGGCGCGAAGGTGTTGTAGACCGAGTCAGGATTTGTGGGCCACCTAGCGTATAGCCTAGATTGGATAGACAACCGGAAATCTACTGCATTACACTTTCACGACATCACGACCTCAGAGAGAAGGGCCGAACGACCTTCAGCCATGGTCACTGGCTATCCCCGGGGCTATGATGGCCATTCTTGGCAGCACTCGGCAGAACCATAAGCTGTTTCGAGGCTCGCATTGCCAGGAAGGGTTCTCGCCGTCAGTTTGCCGCGCCCCGCAAGTAGAAGAGTATGATGGAGAAGGTGTCCAGCCCGCACACGCCTGTCCACTATACAGCGACCGTCGAATGCACACCTAGAGCGAAGAGAATATTCCTTCCCGAGAAGCGGTTGGGAATGAACGAGGCCCGCGCCACGCAGCATCGCTAGAACGCACAACGTAGACGACTCTCTCGCACGCAACCATCTCAATGGAGCAGATTGTCGCAAAAATATTTTCGCTCTGCTCACACTTGCTCAGGGGTGATCACCCGAGCCTCGTGCGCAAGGCTCGCCGCTCAGTCGCCCGTCGGCGATAAGCTGGTCGCCAGCTGGTGGCCAGCCGGTCGTCAGCTGGTCGTCAGACACGGAAACCCCGGTTATCACCGAATGAGCTCCGAGTGACTCCACCCATGTTCAAGTAGCTACTTGCTGGAATATTGCAGGGGTAGCTCGCACAAGCCTTATAAAAAGCGTACGGTTAATGAAACTGGCGCTAGACTACGACAATGATCAGTACGGCTTGTATCGAGAGGAAGCTTGCGGCCCGTCGACCGCTGTCGACCGGTGATAATGGTGGTGAGAAAGTCGCGCCGCGCGCCGCGCGCGTACCCGGTGCACATCGCACTTCGTCTTGACATCGCACGTGCGTACGCGGATAGATCTAATAGCTACGTGAGGTATTTTACTACAGGCTCTTAGTTGAATCCGAAATATTGAGAGCAATGGCTCGTAGAGCGCTAGTCGTGGGTGAGTTGCACTGCCGCTGATGACCGACTGGCGACCGGCTGGTGACCGGCTGGTGACCGGCTGGCGACCAGGTAGTCGCCATCTCATCAACGCGTGAACGCCACATGGGCTGCCACTGCCTGAGTTCATAATGGGTCACCACCGACTGACCACCTCTCACCAGGTCTGGCCTCCGAAAACAGGTTTTGCGACAATGTTCATCGCACGATGGCTGTTGGCCACTGTCCATCCCATTTTAGTTGCAAAGCAATACATAGCGTGAAGCCGATCCTTGGCTATTCAGCAACGACGGACGGAGGTTCTATTGGAAGTGGGGTTCCTGTGCGTACGGACGGTGGTGGTGGGGGAAAGCAAGACGCGTCGAATAATCGCTCACAAATGCGACAGAACGATGTTGCCCATGGATAAGCATGGGCGAGAGGGACTATGACAGATCAACTCGACGGGATGTTAGTGCCGCCTTGAGAGCTACATTAATATTCGTCAGTCCACGATCGATAGAAAAAACACTTTCCCTGATTTTTACTACGGAAGCGACGCCAGCAGGATTCGAACCTGCGCCTCCAAAGGAGAACAGATTTCTAATCTGTCGCCGTAACCACTTGGCTATAGCGCCGATGAGGGGTTTGCTTCCGCGATATACTCCATTCCGCATACTACTCCCGCACCTTATCCCTTCCTCCAAGCGAGAGTGAAAGTTCGAAGCGTAGGTTATACTCGTATACACTACCCCAGTCCAATCCGATCCAAATCCATTCCAGGTGTAATACAATTCAAGTATGTGTCCGAGTCCACTAAGATCAACCATCCAACATACAGTCCGTAAGGAATCACAAGAGCCTAGAGCAGCTGCCGCTCCCTCGCCCGCTCGACGCTCTCGGCCGGCCGTTCCTGTAGCGCGGCGACGAACTCCGCGACGGCGTGCCAGTAGCCCGGCTGGACGCACGTGTCGTCTGTCACATGGTCAGTATGCGCGCTATGTGTAGGAAGAGAGGAAGGAAGATGGAGGAGGGAGTAGGGGAGTTGAGGGAGAAGACGTACTATGCGTCCCAGCGCCAAACTCCAGAAACTGGTTCTTCCCCTCTCGCAAGCTCACGGGCGGACCCAGCCCCTCCCCACCATCCTCCTCATCCCTCCCTCTCTCTTTCCCTGCGCCCTCCCCATCCCCATCCTCATCGCCATCGTCCCCGGCAGAACTCACATTCTTCTCTGCGGCCGTCCCGCCGAGCTCGACAGCAGCCCGCGCACCGATATCTTTCGCGGGCTCGCCGGGCGCAGAGGCGGATGTGGGGTCCGCGGACGCGGCGCCGCGGCCGGCGGCGAGGGACCAGGGTTTGGAGTCTGGGTTTGTGTTTGGTGGGGGTGTTGGGAGGGGTTTTTCTTGGTGTTTGGTGCTGAAGCTGTTGGAGAGGCTGTGGAAGCCGTGGCGCGGTTCTGCGGGCGTGAGCATCAGTAGTGGGGATGGAGATGGGGAAGGGAAGATGGGAGCGGGAGGGAGGAGGGGGAGGGAGAGGGACGTACGCGTTGAAGGCTTGCCGCGCGCGCAGAAGAGGGACCAGAGCTCGTGCATGTGTGCGCGCGGGACTAGCTCGTCGCGGACGCCGCCGAGGAGGAGGACTGGGATGTCTGGCGGGATGCGCGGGACCTGCACGCACGCGTCTCAGCACTCTAACGTATATCGGCGAGTAAGGGGAGGAGATGGAGGGAGGCGCACCTTCGCATAGCTCTCCCACTTCTGATGGCACAAAAACGCAAAGGGGCCCAACCACGGCATAGCAGCCGGAATAACCCGCGGCAGGCTCGTAAACGTGTTCTCCAGCACCAGCGCCCTCACCACCCGCGGATTCTTGGCGCACAAGTCGATGCTCACCGCGCCGCCGATGCTCTGGCCGTACAGGATGACCGGGGAGCGGGCGAGGAAGGCGTGGTTGGTGATGTGGTCGAGCGCGGTCTGGGCGTCGGATTGCAGGCCGCGCTCGGAGGGCGTGCCCGAGGAGAGGCCGTAGCCGCGGTAGGAGAGCATGAGGACGTTGCAGCGCATCTTGAGGAAGAAGACGCGCGCGAGGGGGATCCTGCGCCACAGCCCGTCCCACATCAGCATATCATATACCAAATACATATAGATAGTGAGAAGGACGCACCGATGGCCGTGATTGCCGCCATTGCCATGAAACATCAGCACCGTCGGCCTGCTCCCCGCAAACGCCTGGTCGTCCCCGTCCTCGTCCCAGTTCCACGGCACGCCGTTCGCGCCGTGCACGTCCAGCTCGACCTTCTGCGTTAACAAGTACGCCTTGAGCTTGACGCCGTCCGGCGCGGTGAGCGTGAGGTCTGTGTAGGGCAGCCCGAACTCGGAGGGGGTGCTGACGTGCTCGCGCGAGCCGGAGGGGAAGGCGGAGGGGTAGATTAGGTAGTTCTGCCCGTAGTAGAGCAGGCCGACGCCGAGGGTTCCGAGGCCGGCGGCTGTGGCTGCTGTGCCCTAGATCAGGGTTAGACTGGTGAGTGGAGGGTTTGGTGGGAGGGTACCTTTACGAAGGACTCGAGGGAGGGTATGAAGTTGGACATGGGGGGCAAGCGAGAGATTCGAAGACGTCATGATCATGCCTGCGCTCTAATCATGATCGACGCGCGCGGCGCGACTTGGGTCCTGCGCTCATCATGGCCTTTCCTTTGTCTCTCCGACCAAATATATTCTTGCTTGCGATACGAAGCGTGCTTAACACGTAGTGTGATCTCGCAGCCCAGCCCACTCTACGCGATCCACCTCCCACCCCCGCATAACATTCCTCGCCTCGCCCTACACCCCACAGTCCTTCCTCGACATCTTCGACGCGCACGCCGTCGACGCGGCATTCTGCTTCATCCACGATAACACGCGCTTCTACATGGACGTGCACAAGGCTATACTTGAGGCGTGCAGGAGGAGTAAGACGTGTAAACGGTTTGTGCCGAGTGAATACAACGGCGCTATCGTATCTGACTGTTCTTGCATCGCGACCCATCCGACGGACTCCTCTTCCACTACACCTCTAAGTGACATTTATCTCTGGGGGTCAGAATTGGCTGCGTTGACATTTGTACGATAATACTACTGGATTCCAGACTTTGGATACGAGTGTCACGATTGATTGACACATTCCCGATGTTTTGCAAGCGTTTGGCTACACGCAGCTAGCTTTCTCCTGGTCACTTCATGCGCCCTAGATCAGATCGAGCATAGACGAGGCGTGAACGAGACACGCACTCTGCGACCTCGAGAGCACCAAGTGCTTCGACTGTTCCCCCCTCCACGTCCGACATACTCTTCAATTCCGTCTTCGCGCATTCAACTTCGGTAATGCTCCCGCTATCATTCTCCCTCCCGCACGCGTCTGGTTCTTCGTGGTACAGACGGGGTCTGGACGATACCTTCAGTCAGATGTACGAGGCTTGAAGACCGAAAAGGACACGGACCCCGGGCCGATCACCGTACCAACTGACGCGTCTCGGGGGCGCTCGCCGAATTCGATCTCGCCTAGGTTTGAACGCGTCCCACCCGTATGCATTGAGGGGATCTCCAAGCCGATCCGACTGCCGATGGTAACAGTAAGACGCCAATAGGATGCTCGGGCTTCACGAGTAAGCCCGAAGAGACCAAACAGTACGAGTGCAAGAACAGGTGAGGTCCATTTTGACAAGTAGACCTGTGCGATGACAGATGTGCCTGCACCAACCAAATCAGCATATGAATTGCTCTCCGGCTCCCAGTCGGTGTGATTGTAGGTCCAGTCCGGGAAGAACGGCATACTGTCGTAGTATGCGATCCCATGCTGGACGTCCAGGACGATCGTGGCGATACCCACGGGGAGTGTGAGGAGTATGTCGACGCTGGCGATGGCGATGATGCGCATGTAGTTTGTTCGCGATACTGAGTCGTTGCTCTGCAGAAAGTGGTTGACGTCGCGGTTCTGCCGATAGAAGAGCAGGCATATTCTGGCTGAGGTACATAGGTGCGTATGAGTCAATATCACAGAGAGTGAAGAACGAGCCACGCTCACGATAGTACACGAGGATTGAGATCATCGGAGGAATAACGTTGCACAAGTTGAAGATCAGCGTGCCGAGTATCGAGTCGTCCGTCGCGTTCTGACATCCAAAGCCTTCTTGCACCGCAAATCGGGATATCTGGAAGACAAAGTCTGGACGGAATAGTCAGTGCGCATGCCGTCGATAGGATATAGAAGACGCACAGATAGGCCCTGCGACTAGGACGGGTATGAACAAACCGAGGGTCCATTCGATCAGGCGGTCCTTGTACCTCTAAATTCGAGTAAGCATTGATATGATGGGCGGATCTTCGTCCTACCAGATATTTCCCTGTCTGCTCGAAGGACTGCATCTCGGTGATCAGATAAACTCGACGTGTGATGATGAGCGTGGCCATAGGTTTGACTACAAAAGTGAGCAATTCGATATGCGAGACTGCAGTTCAAAGTCAGGTCGGATAGTACTCTCCTAAGACGTGCTTGCGACGGATACGGACCAATATCACAGTACACGACGTGCTTGATGTCCGCGTTGTCGGCCCAGATGATCGCGTTCGCGCCCGCAGTGACGTTCTCAATCAGGAGCCAGAAACATAGGAAGGCGACTCCGAGATTCCAGTTTTGGCGGACGAGACTGGTAAGGATGAGGAGAAGCAGTAGGACCCCCGCGATGATGGAGACGATGGGGTATAGGGGGTACGATGGGTCGGCAGCCATACTGTAGCAGCGCTCAGCGACCGATCTTCTGTACTTGCTGTACATATACCATGACTTATCGCGGGAGAAGAGTCGCAATGGTGTTCCGGGAAGCGAGAGATGAGAGGCGCAATCGCCGCAGGCGGAGGAGATCCCATCCAGCCTCTACGGCGCCTAGGACGCCAAACGCGTGATCATCATCTACAACCTGGTGCCAAACCTCCCCCTCTCGATCCCGAGATACGCGCAACCTCCGCAAAGTCACTCTTTCGCTCTACAGACAAATTCGTTTGGATGAACGGGTGTGATGAGTTCACGGACTGGATCCGGCGGCGCTGCACCTTTGGTGATGCTCATCGCACCGATGGGCGCAAGACACACAGCATCGAGTGATGGATACGGGAGTATGTCTGCGTCGAGCTCGTGAATGACGCCCGTTAGTATCCGCACATCAGAGGCTGCACTAAGGGCCCGGGGAGGGTACCTGGAGGGTACTGTGTTCGACGTGGTGGTCGAGTGAGAGGACCACCCGGCGTTCGAATGCCGCCCCCGGATGGCCGACGCGCCTTGGCTCCTGCGCTCATCATGGAATTTCTTTATCTGATTTGCTTGCCACTTGATGCATACTCGACGTGCAGTGTGATATGATGATAGCTCAACCCACTCAACGTGTCCAACCCTCGTCATATATCTGGTATCCAGTCGTGCTGAGTCAGTCCGCCAGCTACTATGCGATCCGATCGTGCACGGCCAAGACAGGAGATCGAGTGGGGTCCTTCGGCGATCCACCCGACCGGCGACCAGATATTGTATATAAGTCAAATGGCATCTCTCCGACCTAGCGATCCCAACGAAAGCAAAGTATGTCGAGCGCGAAGACTGTGGCGCTCATCGGCGCGGGCGATGTCGCGAAGTGCGCCTGTATCCCTCCGACCTCAACCCCTCACAGCTGACGCGCATCGCAGATTCTTCGTCGAAGAGCTCGTCGCCGCCAACCGCAATGTGCTCGTCATCTCGCGCGCCCCACGGCCTTGGTTCGCCGACCGCACCGACATCACATTCCTTACCTCCGATTATTCCTCTTCGTCTTTTACCGAAATCTTCGACGCTCATAACGTCGACGTGGCGTTCTGCTTTATACACGACAACACGAAGTTCTACGTCGATGTTCACGAGGCCATCTTGGACGCGTGTAGGAAGAGCAGGACGTGCAAGCGGTTCGTGCCGAGTGAATACGACGGCGATATTGAGGAGGGGGATGGTGGGCATTGGGATAAGCCGCGCTTCCATCTCAAGACGCACGTTCCGTTCCGCGAGACCCTCACTTCTCAGTCGCAACTCGAGGATGGGGAGAGGGTGGAGTATACGCTGCTGTGCCACGGGTGGTTCATGGATTATATTCTGCCGTCACACAAGACTTATATGAAGGACATATATCCCGTTTGGCCTGTCGATGTGAATGGGGGGAGCGATGAGGTTGTTGTTGCGGGGACGGGTGAGGAGAGCGTAGGGTTGACGGCTGCGAGGGATGTGGCTAGGGTGGGGGTTGCGTTGGTTGGTATGCCGAAGGGCTTTTGGGTAAGTGCTGCAGTATTGGTGTGTGGGTGGGAGGGGAGCTGATTGTGGGTGACAGAGCGAGAAGACGTATGTGTGTGGAGAGTATACGACGTGGAATCGGCTCATCGCGCAGCTTTCGTCCTACTACAGTGCGTCCTCCTCCATCCAGCCTTATACAGTACTCACCCTCCCTTTAGATCGCACATTCAACCCCACCTACACCCCCCTCTCCACAATCCAAGCTGCAATCGAAGACCCAGACATCCCCGAAGAAGACAAGGCGTTCGTATACATGCAGGAGTGGAACGCGAGCGGGGCGTCGGCGCCGCCGAGGGAAAAGTTGTGGGATGCGGGGAGGTGGGGGGTCAGGGTGAGGAGTGTAGCGCAATTGCTAGAGGATGGACGCAAGGATGGAATCGTGTAAGAGGGATCGGGATGATGTCGGTACGAGATTCTTTACGATGAAAGTACATGCGCGGTCTTCTCCCCACGCCTCGTTCAGACCTCGGATACGACCCAGAAGTGATCAAACAGCACGGTGCCAGATGCTTCAGCGACTCTGCTCAATCACGAACCTCCAGTCATCGTTCGGCGCCAAGCCGCAGTGAGATGCGCGACCGCGTTGTTCTAACATCGACGTCCGTTGTTCAATCGAAAGGCGGGCATATGCGTTTGATATCCAGTATTGACGACAGTTCGTACAGGCTCCGTTACAGACAGAAAGCATGATAAGGATACATGGTACAATGGTAGGTCCGTTCATCCTGATCTCGCGCTGCGTATCCTCTCTGACCGTTCTCTTCCCCCTCTCCCTCCCATAGCGTAGGTCCCTCGTCTTCCAGGCTCCTTAGGCCTCCTCTTCACACCTCCTTCGACCCCGTCAACTGCTCCATGAACCGGGCTCATCGACACCGCCGTCCACCTTCCTCGATCAATGCTGACCTAAATGCGTCGCATTGAGCGTCTGGGTGATACCATCCACCTGCGCCGCGTGATTCTGACCGGCATTATTATTCCCTGCGCCGGTCGCCTGGCCTGCGTGCGCTTGGCCGCCGTGAGCATTGTGAGTGGCGGGGGCGGGATTGATGTGAGCGTGAGCGGCAGTGGGGTTGGTCGCGCTGCGGGTGATACGTGGGGGCGGGGACATCGTGATATGTGCGAGTGGGTGAGTGTATCTGGGTTTTAGGTGTATGTGGCTGAGCGTTGACTATCGAGCGCCTCTGCACGTTAGGCGTTGGATGAAGAGCGCGCGGACTGCGAAGAGCTGGCGATGCGGAGACCAAGTCGGAGTTCGAGCTTTATATGTTCGGAGAAAGGTCTTGGTCTGCATCGTGAGGTTCGTGGTTCGTAGGTGCTTCTTTGAGTCCACTGCGTGATAACAATGGGTTTGTAGGTTGCGGGAGGTGGATTGTTGGGTCGGCCCGGGTCCACAGTATTCTTTGCAAAGACTCGGATGACTCGAGGCACAATGGTATAGGTCCGTCACGATACCTTTCACAGAATATCATCGCTAACCACAGTCTATTGCCGCACTCATCGCAGCACTCGACGACTTTGTCGAGCCAATGCCGCGGTGAACTAAACATCGTTCCGCGCCTCGGTCGAACGGCGATCATCGTCTTCGTATGACCGCTGCCGCCAGTGGTTCGAGTATTGCCGCCTATGGGTGGGACATGTTAGCCAAGCTGAATGTCTCGACGACGTCCACAGTTGTGGATGTCGACAGGCTTTGGCTGGCTGGTGTCGCCGGGCCTTTGACGGCGATGGTTCGACGCTTGACGCTCGCGGGGACTTGTCATGTCGAAGATCTTGATGCATATGCTACTGATGTACAGAATCGGTACGGAAGGCTCATCATATTGTGTACACAGACACTCATGTACGGTACAGTTCTCCATAGTGTTCTACCCGACACCAGTGAGTCGATCCCCAAGCCCCCTCAACGTCCTCTCTGACCACCTCGTCGCCTCGCGCCTTTCCCCGCAGGATCAACATGCTGATCGAGCAGATGCCGCGGTGCACTACACACGGTGTACGTCTTGACACATCCGGGCCAAGGGCACGCCATCATGGCCTTCCTTCCCGTGCGCGTGGACTTGAGCCCGTGGACGTCATCTAGGTGCTTGCGCGCGTCGGCGAACTCGAGCGGGCGGGCGAGGTTTGTGCCGCAGAAGCAGGTGTGCGGGCGCTTGATGGCGATGGCGGGTGCTTGGATTGTGGTTGCGGGGGCGGTCTGAGCGTCGTCTTCCTGGGTCTTGATGAGTTTGGCCGAGCTGAGCGTCTCGACGACGTCTACGATCGTGGACGTCGACGAGCCTTCGCTGGCCGAGTTGTCAGACCCCGAAGTCGATGCGCCGTCACTGTCGGATGGTGATGGAGAGTTGCGGTAGGATGGATTCATGCGCAGTGGCAGTGTGCGAAGAGTATCGTTCGTGGCTGGATGGCTTGCGGCGATGGGTAGCGGAGCGGCGGGCTCTGGGGTTGTAGCGCGAGCACCGAGGCGGAGGAATCGCGGAGGAGGGGCCATCTTCGTAGATGCTGGGTGGCAGAGTGGTGGCTGAGTTGCTGAGGTTGAAAAAGAACTCCGCGCGCTATATACTGACCTTAAAGCCAGTCCACATCACACAGATATTGGGTCCAAGGCGTGCTGTAGGGCGGCGATATGGTTCCGAGGCCACGGGCCTTTCACGGAGGAGAGGACAATAGAGCTACAGTATCGGTTTGGTAGTCTGTGGTAGGGACGCATGTACTCAATGTAGACCGTGCTATCACCGGTGGAAGCGCCCAACAAGCGCCCAATACCAAGCGCCGGCCTGGCCTCTGCTGATTTTGAACTGCATAACTTCCTGTACAAGCTCTTCGGTATGCTATAGGGCAGATTCATGATTGTCATGAGCCGGATAAGAGTGGAGGAGGGCATGATAGGATGAATCCTCCAGCGAGTGGGATGGTGGACGTCGAGTACGGATGATTCACGAACAGCGCCGGGTTAGTTTACTAAGGTCCTGCGTGGAGACTAAGCGCCGGGGCTGAATCACTCGTGGCAGTCAGAGACACACGAGGACGATGTCTATACTCCGGTTGGTAGGGCGCCGAGAGCCAGAATCATCGTTCAAAGCTTACTTACTCTCAGCAGCCCAACTAGAGTCACAGACAACTCGAACCTGCGCCGACGTCAGTGCCAAGCCACGTTTGGCGGCAAACGCCGGTTGATGGCCGGCCCCGCGTCCCGCGAGGCGCGTCAGATGGCGCGCCTTTGTTCGTGTTCCCCACCTGAGTCAAGTTTGCGCTATGACGGTCTCTACTAAGCACGACATGATATTCAGTATAGAAGATCTCCAGGTCACCAGACGAGCTTATGCCACCGAGAGCTGAGTAAAGCAACCGGTAGACACCGGACTATAGGTGCTATAAAACCGTACGCTATCTGCTCTCTCCGAATGACGCACTACCTGTCTCGTCTGCTTTACTCCGTACCACCATCCTAACTACGAATGGCTTCTTCAGAATCTTCTGGCGCAGAGCGGCCGTTCGTGTACGCGGTACCTGAGGAGGACATTGAGCTTCTGCAGAAGAAGCTGGCTCTTACGCGCTTTCCCGACGAGCTCGAGGACGCGGGCTGGGAATACGGTGTACCTTTGTCGGACATTCGCGCTCTCGTTGAGCGTTGGCGTAATGGCTTCGACTGGCGGGCTGTTGAGCGGTCTCTCAACACATTGCCCATGTTCATACGACCCATCACTGTCGATGGCTGGGGCACTTTCGACGTTCACTACGTTCATCAGCGAAGTGACCGCGCAGGAGCGATCCCGCTTCTGTTCATACACGGCTGTACGTCCATCTCCCAATACAATTTTGATTTATGTCTGACTACTCTCATAGGGCCGGGAAGTTTCATCGAAGTACAGAAGATCCTGCCGTTGCTGGTAAACCCCGAGGATCCCAAAGCTCCCGCATTCCACGTCGTTGCTATCAGCGTTCTTGGATTCGGACCGTCCGAGGGTCACCATAAAGCTGGTCCGTTCTCGCTTGTCGAGTACGCAGAGGTTCGTGTCTATGTTACTAATATAAGCTGGATATTCACGTATATTTTTGCAGGCATCTAATAAACTCATGCTTGCGCTCGGTTACACGGAGTTCGTCACCCAAGGCGGCGATCTCGGCTATGGCGTACGTCTGCTCTGCACTATGAAGAGCACGTTTATCTCACAATGGCATCAGATCTCTCGCACCATGGCTTCCAAGTATGGCCCCAAGCACGTCAAAGCATGGCACACGAACTTTCCCTCGTATGGCCGCCTTTAGTGCACAGTTATCTTGTACTGACCCAAGTTCCAGTGTCGTATATCCCCCCACATTCTTTCAACACCCGATCTTGTACCTGCAGAACCTGTTTCCCTCGCTCTTCTACTCAGAGTCCGAGAGGAAGGGTTTCGAGCGTCGCGATTGGTTCTTTCGCACCAACCCAGGCTACTTCACGATGCATCAGACGAAGCCGCAGACGCTCGGCTACTCGCTCTCCGACTCACCCGTTGGATTACTGGCCTGGGTGTATGAGAAGATGGTAACGTGGAGCGATGGTTACGACTGGAGCGATGACGAGGGTAAGTCTCTGGACTGGTTTTTGATCGGGTCTCTGTCGCTCACGGGCCCCTCTAGTTCTGACCTGGGTGTCGATATACTGGTTCTCCCGTCAAGGACCGACGGCCAGCACGCGGATATACGTCTACGAGCGCAGCGTATTCCAGGTTCCGCCACCCACAGTACCCATGGGCATCTCGTACTTTCCGAAGGAGATCTTTCCCACGCCCAGGAGCTGGGCCAGGACATTGGGCAACGTCGTTGCAGAGAGCGAGCATCCCGACGGCGGTCACTTCGCCGCACATGAGCGCCCGGAGGCTCTCGTGGACGATGTGAGGAAGATGTTCGGCAGAGGTGGTCCTGCCTTCGCTGTCGTTCCGGGTCGGGATGGGTACTAAGATACCGGAGGCTGTGACTTACCAAGTATCACCTTGTACATCAGAAGTTATGATGAACGCACAATACGTCAATGGCATCGGACACCGAAATCTGCAATATGTACGTAGAATATGAAACACGGTGCTCTGAAGCCCAACATCATGTAATCAATGCATGAGTCCATGCAATAAACCCGGCGAAATATATACACTGAAGCGCATAGGGAAACGAGTGAAGGTCCATGAGGTGGTGTCCGTAGGGGAGTGGTCCGTGAGTGGGTGAGTCCGCGTAGGGATAGGGTGATACCGAGAATGTACAGTGCAGCCAGATTGGGGACAAACAGAGGAAGGATGTGGTATACAACGCTTAGGATGACAGAGAACCCGAGATGAAGCGCGAAGAGTGAGACTCGGAGAGTAGCCTGCGTTGCTGGGCATGGCGGCGGCAGGCCTTGCCCGTGCAGGAACTCTTGTGAGAGCTAGAAGAGTGCCCGGAATGCGATGAATGCCCGAAGCTCACAGCGTGGCCAGAGCCCCATGCGTGACCATGACCGTGGCTATGATGAGAGGATATCCCGGGTGACGCTAGAGATTTCTGAAGAAAGGCTTCATACGCCGGGCAGAGGGTATCCCATTGACCTGGCAGGAGAATCAGTTCATGATTGTATAGAACGATGTCGTTGAACGCACCGGACGTAGACATTGCCTGAGCATTGTCATCGGCATCCTCTGCAAAGACAACAGCGAGCCCAGCCTCCAGATGCTGATCTGTTGCATGCAGTCAGTACCGCTGGCAGCCAAAGCTGCAGTTTCAATCGCAAGACTTACCGATATGGCAGTGTAGGAACCAAGGCCCAGGATTGTTCGTCCGGAAGCGTATACGAATGTCGTCGCCGTCCTCAAGTCCCATAGCGACAACGTCACGAACAATAGGATCATTGTTGTTCTCGACATTGTTGGAGTCAGCACTGGTGATGACCCAGAACGAATGCTGTCGTCAAAGTCAGCATTGGCCCATGCGGAAGGGATAGTGTGCGTACGCCATGCAGATGGATTGGGTGCTGAATTCCAAAGAAGGCGACACCTGGAATAAGGATGTCGTACACTTTGTTCCGCTTGAGGCTATACACGCTGCTGAGAGGCAAGAGGTCGGACGCCTTCTTCGCGCCAGACATCATCTGCAACAGCACCGGCACCTCGGGACTGACCCACGTCTGGTTGTTGACCAGGAACACGGAGCCATTCCAAGCCACGTTGAGCGTGATGGTCTCGTCAGCGGGAGGCTGGGATGTGTTAGCGGGTTGATATTCGCAGCGTATGTTGAAGTCTTACAGGAGGCGCGGCCACGAGGGGCTAAGTACTTCGTTAGCTCCAGTAGCATGCTTAGAGAGACCTCAGGGACTGACGCGCAACTCGGTTTCCAGTAGAAGGTGCTCAAACGACGAGTCCTTCGAGCCGGGCTCGGCTTGCTTTGCGCCTTTGTAACGCAGGATTGCCGAGTTAAGCCCACCGTCCGCGGTCAGATTGGCGCCGACATCGGGAAGGGCGCGGATCCAATAGTTATCAACCTTCTGGTCCGCGTGAAGCTGCCGCAACGTTTAGATCGCATTCGAGAGAGGCGGCTCATGAACGTACAACGAAGGAGTATCGTTGACCGGCAAAGATCTGCAGCTGAGACACGTCGACGGGCTTAACGTTGGTACCATCCGCTTCGATAATCTTCAGCGTATGCTGATCAATTGAAAAGAGGTAGCTGGGATCACCTTTAACTGCATGTCAGCTACTAACTCATGGACGCAGTTCGAATGCTTACATGCTGTGGAGACGAGGCGCATGCGGTAGCTAAGTTGGCATGTCAGTCCACGATTGCCATCTGAGATGCGCATGCATACCGGAGACCCTTCTTAACATTCACAACCGCGAGATCAAGGTTAGGTCCGCCCCAGTACCGTGCCTTCCCGTTGATGAGTGTTGATGAAGGCGTCGGGGTATAGTTCGGGGCAGTCTCGTGGCTTGTGTAATGATACCTACACCGATGAACTCAGTAGATGCTCGGCTGGAAAGACACGCGCTGATCTTACCAGTCCGCCAAGGTGATGATTGTATCATCTGGAAGAACATCAGCACAGATGCAGTGTGGATTCCAGCTCAACGAGCGTACCATCATCCACGTCATAGAGGTAACGGTGGGGATCTTGCGGGTCGCGGACCACAAGCACGCCACGTTCTCCGTCGCAGTATTGTTCCTGTAGTGGGCACTTGAGTACAGCCGCACGCCGACAAGGAATAGGCGCACCGAGTAATGTGAGTGCCACCAATACGTTCCCGCCTGACCGTCGACCTTGAACTTGTACTCGAAAGCGCCACCTGGAGTTGTGAGTCTTGGCAACCATCGCCGATATGAGGGACTTACCTGGTACGATTGGGCATTGGGTGACGCTAGCTACGCCTGTACAGTGATCAGTGAGCACATCATGTGCGTGCACAGGGGAGAGGAGTTCGCACCGTCGGCCCACGCGGTATGCTTCTGGTCAATACCGTGCCAGTGCTGGGAAGCGTCAGATTCATCAAACACCCTTCAATATAAGAGAAAGATGGGCGCACGATCGTCGTCAATGCATCCATAGACTCATCATGGAGAGAGTTCTTGACGGTGATGTGGAAATTGTCTCCCTATAAGGTATGAGAAGTTTGTCCGAGCTCACTCAACACCGTTGACGCACCTTATTGCCAGAGATGACCGGTCCAGGGAATATGCCATTGGCCAAGACCGCCCTACAGAAGTCATTCGGTGAGCTTTGAACGAGTAGCAGTCTTCATGAATCTCACGGCCGCCTGTGACAGGGATAAGCACTCTGAATAAACAAGGAGCTAACGCATAACATACATGTATCCATCGAGAGAGACGTTGCGGTTGACGATGTCGAGGGTTTTAGTTACAGTAGCTGCGAACGAGCTCGAAGCCAGAGAGAGTAAAGACAGACAAAGACAAGCCCAAAGTGAAGAAGAAGCCATGGCGCCCGTAGGTGGCAGGGACAACGGCCGTGCTCACTCACTGCAGTCGCCTCATATATATCACCCGCTGCCTAGGCACAAGAAGCAGGCAAGATCCCGATTGGGAGGGGACCTCGTTGGTAATACGGACTTAAACGGCTGACCCAACGGAAAGGTAGGCGTACGGATGGGATGGGCTATGGCTCAAATATTTATCAGACATCCGCGTAGCTCAGAACGAGCTTCATGTATTGCCGCTGAAAGGCTTCGTCGTGTACCGCCGGCAGTGGTTTCCCAATGCAGCGGAACTTCGGGTCCATAGATGCACGGTCGAGGCTTCCGACCGAGTTTTTAGTCTGCTGGCCACTTCGGGAATTGCGCGCCCTCCAGGCGGAAAGTGCCACCGAGGTTGACGCCCTCCTCGACATTCCCATTTCTCTACGGTATGTCCCCCCCCCCCACTTATGACC